CTAAAGCTGACCTTGCACACCTTGATCCTCCAGTCTCCATCTCCTAAGCACTGGGACTCTGGGTGCATGGCACCATGTGCTGCTTCTGATTGAATTTTGGTGGTTGTGCCAGTATCTATGTTTTCTATTTTTCTTGATCAATATTTCTGGGATTTGTTAAGTTTTTCGTTATTTAACAAGTTTTACGAAGCAAAAGACAGAATTTCGTGCTCAGGATGGCTAGTCTAGTGGGTAGAGAGCTGCGGAGAAGCTTGGAACTAAAGGTGTGGACTCTACTAAAGTGGGAGACAAGAGCGGACAAGAAGGGCTAGGCAAACTGAGCAGAGGAAGCACTGTGAAGCCGCTGCAGCAAGTTTGGGTTCCCATTCAAATGGGCAGGGAGTTGCTGGAGTTAGTGGAGGCACAGTGGAAATGCCATTACAGACGGCCTGTGCTGCGAGGCTACAAGGAGAGACCAGGCAGGCTAGCAGAGAGCTGCAATAACCTAAAGCATGCTGGACATGGCAGAACAAAGCAGTATAGGAGAGAAATGAAGGGGTTGGACCTGGTGAGTGATTCTGTATGGAAGAAGCCACAGAGGCAACAAAGTTGCCAAAAGTAGAGTAGATGTGGAGAAGAAGGAGACCACTGGCTGGGAAATCAAGGGTCAGTTGTAGCACACATGTTATCTTTTGTCAGCGGGAATGCTGATGCACACTTGCAATCCCATCTCTTGGGAGGCAGGGTCGGAACTGCTACAAACTAGCCCTAGTCTACATAGTGTGTTCAAAGCTTACCAGAGGTTCATAGTGAGAGCCTAATCTCAAAAACATAAATAAAAAAACCAAGTAAACCAAACCAAAATGATTTTTTTGTCATTCTTGCTGCACAGGGTCAAATTTCCTAAGCAAGAATACAAAGAGGCCACCCATGCAAATGATCAAGAAATCTGTCCATTTTCCCAATGCCTCCTGAGCTGCCTTCCCTGCCTCTATTTCTATCACCCTAGCCTAGCCCCTCATGGCTTGTCACCTGGGTCACTGTACTGAATTTTGCATCACTTTTATTCCATACAATCTGAATGACAATTGGTATCATCTTAAAAATGTCAATATGAGTATACCCCTGTGCTGCATAATGCTTCTTTGGTCTGTTATAGTTTCTCTGCCTCCCTGTCTCCCCTATCTCTCTCCTCTCCTCTCCTCTCCTCTCCTCTCCTCTCCTCTCCTCTCCTCTCCTCTCTCCTCTCCTCTCCTCCCCTCCCCTCCCCTCCCCTCCCCTCCCCTCCCCTCCCCTCCCCTCCCCTCCCCTCCCCTCCCCTCCCCTCTCCTCTCCTCTCCTCTCCTCTCCTCTCTCCTCTCCCCTCTTCTCTCTCTCTCTCTCTCTCTCTCTCTCTCTCTCTCTCTCTGTCTCTCTCTCTCTCTCTCTCTCTCTCTCTCTCTCTCTCTCTCTCTCTCTCTCTCTGAATAACAGTCATTGTACTGTAAGGTTACAGTGGAACTGGGCTGGAGATATATAGTCAAGTGTAAGTCATTTGCTAGGCACGCACAGGGTCCTGGGTTCAACTCCAGAATAAAAAAGAAAGAAAATTAAGGGCAACTGGGGCTGACTCAATTGTTAAAGAGCTTGCATAAGCACAACAATGTGAATTTGCATCTCCACATCCATGTTAAGGCAGGATGTGGTGGCTAGCACAGGCCTGGAGTTCCAGCCGTGGGGAAATGAGGAGAGGCAGACCCCTGCAGCTCACTAGACAGCTGGCCTGGCAGAATCATTGATCTCCAGGTTCAAATCAGAGACCTGGTCTCAAAAAATAAGGTAGATAGTGATAGATGAAGACGCCTAACAATGACCTCTGCCCTCCACATGCATGAGTACGCATGTGCACATACCTGCACACACAAACACACACATGAACACAGACAAAAAATGGAACTGGAAACTTCCTATTGACCAGTGACCCTGTAGCTGTCACGTTGTGGAAAACACATCGCCCTGAGCTACCAGTCATATAAAAGCATAGCGCACACAATTACAAATGCTACCTATATTTAAATGATAATAATGTATTTGTTTTTTTTACATTTATTCATTTCTGTGTGTGCATAATGTGCCACAGGGTGCACCTAGCAGTCAGAGGACAACCTTTGGGAGTCAGATCTCTCTTTCCACTATGTGGGTCCCGGAGACTGAACTCAAGGCATCATCAGGCTTGACAGCAAGCACCCTCACTGTGACTATATTTTGGAATAAAATTGACTTAATTAGTTTTTAAAAGCCCTGTAAAACAGTATGCTAGCAGGGTGTGGTGGCATTCAGTGGCTCAGATAGGACGATAACTGGAAGTTTGAGGCCAGGCTGGGCTACATCGTGAGTACCAGGCAAGCTATGGTTATACAGCAAGTCCTTGTTTCAAAAACACATGAGCAAAATCAAAGCAAAACAAAAGGACAACAAAAGCAGAGGCAGCAGAAGCTTTATCTGTCTCATATCTATTGAACCTGTCAATTGCATTAGGAGGCCATATGGAGTGTTTGACTTAAACTAACCATGTATTTGTATAAGCATCTTCTATAAAGTGTTTTCAGCCATCAACTCACCTAATGGCACACTGTTCAGAATGTATCCACATTGTTGCAATCTGACTACTCCGCTAAAAAAGTCCTTGGTTTCCAGTGTAGTTGAAGTCAGATTGCTGCTCATCTGTCCATCCAAAGTGAGGCTCTTGTCTTCTTGAGCTCATCCCACCCATTCTCCTTAAAGATGCGCATGAGCATCTTTCCCTTTCCGGGAGCGTGCCAGCTCTTTTCACACACTGACTGGAATTTAGCTTTGCTGGGATCCTTCCCATCTTTCATACTTCAGGCCTCTCCTTGACTGTCCCAGAGATCCTTCTTAACCTCTGTATCATCTGTTAATTTCCTTATTAGCACGTATCGCAATGTGGAACTAGTTAATTGTGTGTTGACTGTAAAATTTCTAGTAGATTTACAAGTTTCTTTTTTTTTCTTTTTTTTTTTTCCGAGACAGGGTTTCTCTGTAGCTTTGGAGCCTATTCTGGAACTAGCTCTTGTAGACCAGGCTGGCCTCGAACTCAGAGATCTGCCCGCCTCTGACTTTAATCTGCTGGGATTATAGGCGTGTGCAAACACCACCCGGCACAAGTTCCTTTTTGTTGTTTTAAACAGGGTCTCATCTAGTACACATTGGGCTATAACTTACTTTGTAGCTGAGATGACCTTGAACTTCTGATCTCCCTGAGTGCTGGGGTTATAGGTATGTGTGCCACACTGATTTTAAGGCTGTTTTGGGGGGCCATCTCCAACCAGAGATTGACGAATTCTGTAAGGCAGTGACAGCGTTTTGACTGTGGCATTTTTAGTATCCAGATGTCACCAAATGAGTCTGGATGAATAAATAAATGAAAGCAGTAATGGAAGTAGGGGGTAGTGAAGGAAGAGGAAGATGGAGTTGTTGGAAGAGTTAGTTCCATTGCATTTTGAGACTAGCAAGCCTAGTTTCCCTTGGCTTGTGGTATAAGAAATTCATACAGGATTGCAGCCAGTCGCCAGACGATGTGCAAACACTGCAGTAGTTAGGGACTGAGGAATTCAGCTTCGGTCCCCAGAAATTCGCCAAGCATTACTGTGTGCTAGGCTCTATGCTGGCGCTGACTGTGGCCGACAGAAAGATGAACAAGTTCACACTTCAACAGTTTGCATTCAAGAAGTCAGAAAAAGGAGATAAGGATGCACAGATGAAAATAAAATATCAATACACATTGATCCCCATTAAAACTCCGGTCCTGCGTCAAGGACAAGTAAATTTTTGGTCTTAACATTCTTCATTCTTCCACACATGATTAAGCGTTGCTCATGAGCGCAAGGTGAAAGTGGAAACAGCTGGATCCTGCACTGCTTTGATCACTCTCTATCTTCATTTTTTGAGGCAAGGTTTCTTAAACCCAGAGCTCATCGATTCTGGCTAGTCTAAGCTAGCCAACTTGCCCTGGGAATGCAGTCCCGTGTCTTGGCCGGCCTCTTTAGTGTGGGGATTATTGGAAGCCATCATAATTGCCCAGCTTTTGACTGAGATCTGTGGATCAGAACTCCGGTTCTCATGCTTGCACAGCAAGCTCTTTATCCGCAGACCTACCTCTTTAGACCCCTTTGCAACATTAGGTTCCCACCTGTGATCTCCATACTGCTTCTTAGCTATACATTCCTACCCTGTTCAGGCTTTATTCAAGACAGAACACAATCTCAAAGTTCTTAAAGCTCCCCTGTCCTCCAGATCCTGGAGAAACTATGTACACATTAGATTGCGAGGAGACAGAACAAGTGACCTTTGAAATGACCTTTGAAAAAAATGTATGGAGGCATACTTTACAGACTATAATTTGACAGTGGTCATTAGGTGAGGGAAATATCAGTACAGATTTATTAACTAGTATAGAGATTCCAGTAGAAATGCCTCTTTGAAAACAAAGTAAAGCACATCATCAAAGGCACAGATAAAATACTAAACTGTTTAGACAAGACTGAGCACCTTAAATGGACATACAGACTTCAGACATATAAAGATGAAATAGCAGGTCAGGGATGTATCTCGGTGGCAGAGCACTTGCCTGACATGCTTGAGGTGCTAGGTTCAGTTCCCAGCAAGGAAACTTTCAGAGTTCAGTAGGTAGAGTGCTTGCATAGCATGAAGGAAGCCCTGGGTTCAACCCTCCGTACTGCACAAACCAGACCTGCTGTAACACCAGCACTTGAGGTAGAGGCCTGAGGATCAGTAGTTCAAGGTCATTCTTGCCTACAAAGAGAGCTTGAGGCAATCAATCAATCAATCAATCAATCAATCAAAAATATATGCAGCTGGGCAGTGGCGGCGCGTGCCTTTAAGCCCAGCACTTGGGAGGTGTTGAGGCAGGTGGATCTCCAACTTCGAGGTCTGCCTGGTCTACAGAATGAGTTCCAGGACAGCCAGGGCTACTCAGAAAAAGGGGGGGGGGGGGGAAGTGCCATAACAGTTGACTGCCAGCAGGTGGCACTTGACCCACAGCAAAGTATGGAGGAAAAACAAATTCTGAAATCAAAGAATGCTACCAAGTTCCCAGGACACCGTCGGTAGATGAGTCTTTCACACAGAAAGCTGGGACTGCAGATATTTAAGGAAGAGGGCAGTAGTCTGTAACAGCGACAGTCTGTTCAGCTGTCTGTGTTGGGCAAGGAATAAGGCCCCTTCTCCCATCCCTTCTAGTGTTGTGGTCGGGCTACGAGTTAGCATAATAATTAATTAACCAGAGAAAAATCATTTTATTCATTTTCATATATACATTGGAGCCTTATTATTAACGAGACTGAGAAGCCCAGATGACGGACGATGACATAGCATCCAGAGCTACTGAATAAGGAGTTTCTGGGGAAATGGCGGAGACATGTGACGGGGACTGAGGGGAGAAAACACATGGCAAATAGCGAAAATGCCTCGAACCCCTCTCTTCCTCCTAGATACTGTTGCTGTGTGCTCTACCCTGTGGCCGAAGGGCCTGGATTTGTGTACCAACTGACTCACTGGACTTGGTCAGCTGCCCTAGGTCGACAATGAGAGAAAATGAGAAACAGGAAAGAGGAGTTTAGCAGCAGCTCAGCCTAACCAGGCAGCTAACCTGGACTTTCCCAAGGCATCTCTTACGACCCATTAAACTTAGTCAGACTTGGTCTCTCCGAGGAGCACACTATCTTATGCCAGTGTTTCCATTATTCTGGCTTTGTACACTGAATATTCGGTAGCACTAGTCTTTTTGCAGGATTTTCTAAAAGAACCCTTATATAAATTTCAAATGCAGTGATTTCTTATATCATCCCCAAGATATCAATTTTTTGATGGCAGGATTGGGTTATTTCCTTAGAATAGACTTCTAAGAATTTTGTATGAACATATTTCCCACTCTCAACACTAGTAAAGTTTTCACGAAGCCAGTTACAAAAGAACCCTGTCAGCACCTGAACAGTTTCAAATCAAAGATTGTTTTTTCAGTTGGGTGCGGGGGGGGGGGGGGGGCGTAGACTTTGCTTCAATTTCCCTACCTCCCATTACTAAAGAGAAAAACCATGTGCTTGCCACATACAGTTTAGTCAATGCTGGTTTAAGGAATGGGATCTAGGAATCTGTGCTGCGTGTACCTGGGACGTTTAAACAATGTGACTGCAATGGAGAGAAGAGCACGTGGAAACCTGACGGGCAGCTTAGGGCAGGGACCCTCGAGCAGCAGTTCCAGGAATGCCCAGATGCTGGCAGGGAGCTCTGCTTTCTTATCTCCTCTTAGTGAGTGTCCTTGCTTCCCTGTGGGTGTGAGCAGAACTCCGCAACTCTAAAGGGCTTCTGGCAGACAGCTCTGGAACTGGAGCTCTGGATTTTCAGGATGGAAATATTGGATCTACCCAGTCCTTAATTTCAGCCTATCTCCTAAATGACGTCAGGGTTTCATCTTCAGAGCAGAGACTGTTGGGATATCTGGTGGAGATAAGAAACCAGAAGTTCTGGCTCTGGCAGGAGACTTAACAGTCCAAGCTACTAAAATGAAAGAGGTAATTAAAGTAAGGCCTAGAGCCCACCTTAGGCATGCTGAACAAATGGGAGGAACAATTCACACCCTCAATGAGAAGATGTACTTTTCCTTTCCATCCCAGAAATCCCACCCTCCCACCTCACTTGGGTATGGTTGCTCCTGGAGCCTTCCCTGGGTTAAGCCTGCTTGCTTTTCTGAATTACTTAGATAAGTATAACTGTTCCTTTTTCTCCCCTCCCCTCCCCCTACACACACACACATACACACACACACACACACACACACACACACACACACAGAGAGAGAGAGAGAGAGAGAGAGAGAGAGAGAGAGAGAGAGAGAGAGAGAGAAGAGAAGAGAAGAGAAGAGAAGAGAAGAGAAGAGAAGAGAAGAGAAGAGAAGAGAAGAGAGAGAGAATATGTATACACACATACACATATACACCCAGATGCTGGCCATAATCTAGACATGCTTCTCCTGATACTCTGGGCTTTCTCACTCTTTTTCTCTGAAGTTATTACTACCCCTGACTCCTAAGCACTGATTTCTTCCATGTGGTGGTTTACAAAAGGCATGATTTTTCTCTCTTCTTTTTTTTTTCCTGCTACCTAGCAGCTACCAAGATTTACAGCTTTCCAGCCCTAAGGGTTTTCTTTTAAAGACTAATTAAATTGTCATTGTCCTCGGGCTTCCTACTGAGTCTTTTTTTAAAGACAGAGTCTCACTAAGCAACTCTAGCAAGACCAGAACTAAGAGGTCTGCCTGTTTTGTCTCCTGAGCACAGGGGCCTGAGTCTCTTCTTAAATTCTTTAATTAGTGGGACTAAAACTCAAGAGGAAACCCCAATTTGCCCAGTAACATGTGACACTCCAGGTTGGGCTCCCCAAAATTTCCTAGTAACAATAATAGGTAGCGCCTAGCTTCTAAACTAATAAGCCTGTTCTAGGGGTGTCAAGAACACCTTGGAATTCGGACTTGACTTAAGTCAATGCCCAGAAACTAATTTACGATCACTACAGTCTGTCTGTTTCCAGACAGGATCAGCAGAAAGCTGTCTTCAGCACTTAATGAAGCGAGCACCTTCACACCTGCAGCCAGACTGACTCCACTCCAAGTACAGCCTCTGGCAGAAACACAGCGGTAAGAAGTGGCAAGGTATGAAAGTGCCCCAACTCCTAGCAGGTCTTCTGCAGCAAAGGGAAACGGGAAATGACAGCGCACTTGCCAGAGCAAGCACGCTCGTGAAGCCACAGGGCTCCCTTACTCCCTGTGCCCAAAGGACAGAGAAGTCCTGGATGTAGAAAATCTTGTTCTTCTTTTTTATTCTTTGGCTTTAATAAGAAAAGATCCTGTTTTAATTTTGAACTTAAAAAAAAAAAAAAGCTAACAAAAGCGGGCTATTCTCTTTGTTTAAGACCATGTGGAATCATTACTAAGACGTCAGTTTTCTATTGTCTAGGTAGTAGACTGTAGTTATTTAGTTTTACAAGGACTTCTTTGGCCAAGAAATCTGTCCATTTGGAAAAGAATAGTATTGCATACTACTATGCAGATTTGCACACGCTACAATTGTAGTGCCTTTCAGTCTGAAGGAATCAAATGCTGGGTCCTTTTTACTGAAGACCAAGGTCTTGGTTGGCTGCACCCCATTTGTGAAAGACAGCCGCTTTCTTTCACTCAGACGGCAGGCACACTGATAAGTTCAAAATCCCCCTTCCCTCGCAAGTATTAAGTAACAGAGCAAATGAGATGGCAGATGCGGAAGAAGACCTTGTCGTTCTTGTCACTTTCCTCGATTCTTTTGAAGCCTTTTGTTCTATGTCTAGTCTCATCAATTAGCTACTTATTCAAACACCCATTTCTTACTTCTGTCAAGTAATGGCTCTGACATGCTCCTCTCCCAACACCTCCATGATCAACTTCTCCCGACTGCCAATCTATCTTATATACTACACATATTCCCTTAGTACCATAATTTATATTATCTTCTAACTATTCGAATTCTGTTCCTGTTCCTAGAGCCAGGTCCCTGAGACAGGGAATTTCCAAGGAATGCGTAGGTTGTCTAGCTACTTCCTTTTCCCTGTCCCTGATGAAGAACCTGGGGTCTAGGGAGGTCTGGACAAGTTTGCAGGAAAACTAGGCATACCGCGCAGATGCCTTGACTTTCAGTTCAGTGTTTTCCACTGCATTAGGTCATTTATCTTACTTGCATCTTTTCAGAACTCCTTATAAAACGCTAGACATATTCGTGGTTCCCTTGAGTATCAGTATAACAAGTGTACAGGTTTATCTAACTGAGAGATTGACCAGGGAAAGAGTAAGAAGGCAGAAAGGCATTTCCTTACTTCTTTGCGTGATGCCACCCTCCAGACCAGTTAATCGCTATTTTACACTTCCCGTCAATCAGGCACTGGGCAGCAGTGATTGTAGCTCCTCCCACAGCAGCCGCATAGTCAAATATTCCTTCTGTGGCTGGGCAGTCATAACCTGGGGGCAGAACCCAGAAAAATCTGTTAAAGAAGATCTGGGGAAGGAAGAATAGGTTAAGCTGTGTCAACAGCACAGCCTAAAGAAGGTTCTGGGCTAAAACCAGCTCCACTGGGGACAGATAAGCATCTCCAATGTTAGACAGGGAAGGCTTTCAAAGGTTAGAAATAGAAAGGGTAAAACCTTCAAGATGAACTTCTCATATCCCACCAGCAGTCCATCAAGGCCCGAGAGGTGATGTATTTTGCCAGTGGTCACACAGAGCCAGGCCTGGGACCGGGTCTTTTGATAGCCCCACCTAGTATCTTTCTTTAAGCCACACAGTTTCTCTAGAAGAGTGGTGCCTTTGACATCGCAGTATGCTGCTGTCGCCTACAAATGTGTTGGGCCCTATTCATAGCTATCGTGGGAGGCATGTGGCCCACGAGCTGCAAGCTGGACACACCTGCACTAGACCATGCTGTTGACAATTCACTGTGATTTTTTTAAGGCATCTGTTGATGAAGGATAAGGTAGGAAAATTAGCCAGAATTTAAACATTTACCTAATGCCATGCATGGTGACGCATACCTTTAATCCCAGCACTTGGAAGGCAGAGGCAGGTGAGTTCCATGCCAGCCTGGGCTTTACAGTGAGACCCTGTCTTGGAAAAATTAAAAAAAAAAACCTCAAACCAAATAAGTCAATACTTAAAATATATGATCACTACAGCTAGTGCAGCCCCAAGTGCTGCCCTTAGAATCTTAGCACTGAGCGATTCTTCTCCATCAGTCTCATGGTTCTCTTGTGTTCGACTCATAGAGTGTTCACAATATGACCAGACTGAGGGATTAAAATGAACAGTTGGGGCTTGAGATGTAGCTAAGGCAGAGTGCCTCATTAGCATATCCCAGGACCTGGGTTCCACCCTCAATAACACACACAGGCACAGACAGACAGACAGACACACACACATACAGACACATGTGCACACATGCATCAGTTATATTATTTCTTAATTTAAAAGTATCGGGCCACAGAGGTGGCTAGCAGTTAAGAGCATTTTTTTACTCTTCCAGGGGACCTGGGTTCAATTCTCAGAATCCACATGGCAGTTTCCAAACATCTCTAACTTCAGGTCCAAGGGCTCTACGGCCTCTTCTGACCTCCACTGGCACTGCATGCACGTGGTACACACATACACTCAGGCACACAGGCGTACACATAAAACTTAAAGATAAAAAAGAAAAGAAACAAGTATTAAGGGTTAGGGAAGTAGCTCAGTCAGTAAGATGCCTGGCACACAAGGATGAGGGCCTGAGTTCAGATTCCTGGCATCCATGTAAAAGCCGGCACACGAGGCATGAATGTGTAACCCCAGCACTGGAGGGGTGGAGACAAGTAGATGCTTGGAGACCACTGGCCGTCCAACCTGGTCAAAATGGTGAAGTTCAAGTTCAGTGAGAGCCTCAAAATGTAAGGTGGTGAGTGATTAAAGAAGACACCCAGAGCCAGGTGGTGGTGGCACATGCCTTTAATCCCAGCACTCAGGGGCAGAGGCAGGTGGATCTCTGTGAGTTCAAGCCCAGCCTAGTCTACAGAGGGAGGCCCAGGACAGTCAGGGCTACACAGAGAAGCCTTGTCTCAAACGAAACAAAACAAAAGACACCCAGTGCTGACTTTTGGTTCCACGTGTGTACCAGCAGACACAAGCACACTACTGCACATACACACATCCTTCTACATAAACACAGAGAGACAAATTAAGTACCATAATCTACAAGCTGGGGTCCCACTGTTGCCCGAGGGACTCTTACCTAGTCCGTATTCTATAGAGTCCGGATGGTCCTCATCACCTTCTTGGCTGACCTTTTGGAGATGTTGCAGATAGGCATCAGTGTGGAAGGTGGCCATATCCTCCATGGAGGCCACTTTGGGCTTCACTATCCTAATAATAACAGCGTGGACATACAGAAGTACATGAGACTCAGAGTATGCAAAGAGCTGGAAATAGCAGTCAATATCTGAACAGAAAAGACAACTCCCAGCTTCTGGTTCCAGTGAGCCGAAGTCATAAACACACTGTCGCTCTGCTGCACTGCCCAGCCTTCACTTCCTCCATCTATGATACTGACCCCACTAATAAGAGACAAGAAGACAGATTTTTTTCTTTTGGGTTTTTAGGTAGGAAACGATAACTGAAAAACCATATTTAACTCAAACAGATAATCTTGGGTCAAGGTCCCTGGTTTAGCCACATAGAACGCATTAACCCGGGGCCAGAAGGATGGCTCAGGGGGTAAAGGCATCTGCCATTAAGCCTGCCAACCTGAGTTTAATCCCTGGGACCCACATTGTGGAGGAGAGAACCAACTGCCCTGGCAAGTTGCCCTCTGACCTCCATGTGTGCTCTCTGGTACACACATCCCCCTAAAGAAATACGTATCATTTTTAAAAAAATTAAAAGAGCTCTGGAGCTGGAGAGATGGCTCAGGGGTTAAAAGAATTTGTTGCTTTTGCAGAGGACTGGGGTTCAGTTTCCATCTCCCACATGGTGACTTACAACCACGTGGAACTCCAGTTCGAGATCTGACCTCCATAGGTACCAGGCGCGCGCGCACACACACACACACACACACACACACACACACACACGCCAAGCACTCATACACATAAAATAAGTAATCATAAAACTATATGTCTAGAAGGCTGAAATATAAGCTTTACTCCGTAAGTTACATCTCATGAGAAAGCAGGAAAGCTAGTCACGTTTGAATCAGTTTCTGCTTGGACCAGGCAATTCTTTCAGTGTAGTCTCTTGCTTTAGTTTTGGTGCTGAGCCTTGTCCCCTCTCCCCCACCCCGCATCCCTCTGTGACTATTTGAATAGGCAGCTGGGTTATCAAGCAGAATTTGAAGCCAGAGAACTGAATTCCTTTCCTAACTCCGTACTTACTAGTTCTGTTAACTTCAGGTGAGTTGACTGTTCTATACCTCAGCTTTCTCATCTGTAAAATGGGTCAGTTTAGTGGACTTATGTGGAGATGAAATAACATATACAAAACTTCATGGACAACTAGCATTAATATTAGAGTAAAAAGGTGGGAAACTGGACGGGGGATGCAGAGCAGTTATACAACATCTGCCTGTCATGGGCAAGGCCCTACGGTTGGTGCCAAACGCTGCAGAAAAAGGTAATATGTTAGATATGGTGGCAAATGTCTGTAATCATAGCACTTGAGAGGCAGGAGAATCATGAGTGTGAGGCTAGCCTAGGCTACACAACAAGTTCTACACCAGACTGGGCTCTATAAGAGTGTCTCAAAAAAAATGAGAAGTCAAATGTAAAAAGTGTTTATTTATGGGGGGCTGTATGGGCACAAATGCAGGGGTTTTTGCAAGCCCGTGCATGCACAGAGGCCAGCAAAGGAGGCCACAATCCTGCTCTGTAACTCCCACCCTATTCCCTTGAGACAGGCTCTCTCACTGAATCTGAACTTGGAGTTAGACTGGTGATCAGCAAGCCCCAGCAATTTTTCTGACTCTTGTTTATCCCTGCCAAGACACCGGGGCTACATGGATGTGTGACACAATCCAGCTTTTCCTCTAGATTCTGAGGACTTGAACTTGGGTCCTAGTGTTTGCATAGCAAGTGCTCTTACTTTCTGCTTCATCCTTCCAGTGTCCTCAAACATAAAGTTTCTATTACTTGTTCTCTTCTCTCTGTCTCCCAAGGAAGGACAGAAGGAGCAAACGGCTAGAATCTCTCACCCTGCTCCCCACAGTGAGCAAGAAAAGGAAGAAAGGAGAGAATAAAGGAAGCAAGTTACATGGGGATTTTGGCCTCGAACCTGCTGAGTCTCCATCTTCACTTCTGGATTCTGCTGCAGTTAAGTAAGTTCTCTAACCCTTGCCAATGAATGGGTAGGTAGTGAACACACTAGCAGCATGGAGTTTCTTTCTTAGAAAAGCAAAGCTCAAGTCTGAATCTAGGCCCAATGAACCACAATTTGTATTCTAACAAGAACACACACACAGGTTTATCAAGACCGGGTTTCTCTGTGTAAGCTGTCCTGGAACTCCTTCTGTAGACCAGGCTGGCCTCGAACTCACAGAGTGTTAGGATTAAAGGTGTGCACCACTACTTCTGGCTTCATATCAATCTTAACATGATGATTGCCCATTTAAATTGAAGGAGCACCACTCTAGCCGTGTATATTCTTCAAATGAGAGTAGAGCCATGAGGTTATCGTGAACTAATACAGGTAGGATATTTAGGTAACTAGTATAACCAAGGTGTTTGAAATCCTGTCGTTCAACTTTAAAAGTTAGAGTCAAAATCAAGGATTCTTGATTTTTCTTCAAGTACTCATCTATACCATGAGAGGCGAAAAAGTTGTCCATTAAAATAAAAATCTTAGGGCCAGCAAGATGGCTCAGCAGGTACAAGAACTTGCTACCAAGTCTGATGACCTGAGTTCAATCCCTGGACCCACATGGTGGAAGAGAGAATCAACTCCCGCCAAGTTGTTTTCTGACCTCTGCATATGCACTTGGCTGACCACTCCCTCACACACTCAACACCCCATCAAAATAAATAAATGCAATGTTAATAAAAATGTTTAAAATAAAAATATCAAGAAGCCTGGTGTAATGGCACATGCCTTTAATCCTAGCACTCAGGAAGCAGAGACAGGCAGATCTCTGGGAGTTCAAACAGAGCTAGTTTCGGGACAGAATATGTAAGAGGGCCAGTTTCAATTTTTTTCACAATCACAATCATATTGGATTATGTTTCCCAGCTTCTCCAAATGTTTTCTCTTACATTTATTACTTATTTCCCTGAATCCTAAAACTAAAGAATACTGTCAGCCTCTCCTGACCAGCAAGCTAACGAGTCTTGCTTTAACATCTTATTTGCAATAGAATATTTTTAAGTGTTGATTGTGTGTGTGTGTGGGGGGGGAATCTAGGCCTCAGGTATGTTAGACAAGTGTTCTATACACTGAACAATATCCCAAACCTCTTTAAAATTTTTGAGACAGATTCTGGCTAAGTCACAAAGCCTGACTTAGAATTTGTGACGCCCCTCCAGCACCACCTGGCTTAGAAAAGTGTTAAAATCCTTTAAGGAAAGGCAAATCATTATCTTGACAAACACAGGAGTTAAGCAATGGTAGAAAAACATTCCTAGCCAGAAGTGGTGACACACACCTTTTGACGGAGGCCTGTGGATCTTAATAAATTCAAGGCCAGCCTAGTGAATGTAACAGTCCCTAGCCAGACAGAGCTACACCAGAGACCTTGTCTCAAAGCAACAGCAAAACATTCCTAAAGAATGTACACACTGTCGGGAGGTGGTGGCGCGTGCCTTTAGCTCCAGCCCTTGGGAGGGAGAGGCAGGTGGATCTCTGTGAGTTCGAGGCCAGCCTGGTCTACAAATTGACTTCCAGGAGAGCTAGGACTGTTACATAGAGAAACCCTGTCTTGAAAAACCACACAATGAACGTACATATTATTATTTTTTTTTTTGCTTTTCGAGACAGGGTTTCTCTGTGGCTTTGGAGCCTGTCCTGGAACTAGCTCTTGTAGACCAGGCTGGTCTCGAACTCACAGAGATCCGCCTGCCTCTGCCTCCCGAGTGCTGGGATTAAAGGCGTGCGCCACCACCGCCCGGCTTATTATTATTATTAAAATGACTAATAATACTAAGGATAAAATCTAAAAACATATTACATTACTTTCTGGGAGGGAAATGAAGCATTAGATGATACAGTCACTCACCCAGTCATGAGAAAACCTGACTTGCATGTGCCACGTCCGTAAGAGTTGCATTTATGATATTATACACAGAATAGGAAATCAATGGAAAGTTGGTTTTGGTATGTTTTTGAGATGCATGTTGCTAGCTTTTAAGTTCTGGCTTGTTTTCAACAGATTGGGTGGTGTAAAGTTTGGCGATGATAGTGGAGTAGTATATCTAAAAGTCTCAAGTTGAGCCCACATCCTCAAATCCAGCTTTAGAAAACAAATAAAACCAAACCCAAAGCAAATATAAAACACACTGAACACTTCCCTGCTTAACCCCTCCCCACCCGCATCAAAAAGATCTTAGCATCTGGCAAGTGCTTATCCAGCAGCACTTTATTTATTATGGCTTCATGGGTGACAATGTTGAGAAAGGTCAACATACTTACCTTATTTGTTTGTGCAGGGCATATGCTTCGATCAGAGAGTGGACCATACTGGCCTGAAATATCAGCATGAAAAAAGAAAGACAAAACAGTCTCTTCAAGGCTCAATTTACTGAAATCCCATTAACAACATCCTGCATGAAGAACTAACTACTTTATCTCTTCTCTCTTGTCACTTTGTCAGTTGGGAAAAACTTAAGACAAAACAATACAAAGCATTAAAATCGCCAGGCTACCCAGTATACTGAACACAAGTGATGGCATACTGTCCTCCAACAGCTTGTGGTCAAGGACATCAATGAACCCAGCCTATTAGAACCTCCACTCACCACTTCACCGTTTCTTTCTCTCCCCCCGCCTTCAGATCTCCCGCCCTCACCCTCGGCTCGGACGTCCCGTCGTGCTCCCCAAAGGTAACAAACCACTTCCTTCTGCCCCAGCTTGGTGTACCTGAAACGGCTAGTTAAATTTTTGTTTAAGGTATCACTCAAGTCTAGTTTTCCTGGTTTCCTAACATACTCCCTTTTACACCCTCCCACTCCCATCCCCCCAAACGGTGGTCTTTCATCCAGACCTCTTACCCGTTTGGGGATCTTGACGAGAGAGTCGCAAATGCTGACATACTCGGGACTATAAATATAAACCGGGGGCAGCGAATGCCCACTATCGGCCGGTTCCTCTGGCATCTCCATCTCCCACTTCCGACCGTCCCTGAGCCAAAGTCCGGACCCGACAGTTTGCGGACACAGCCTGGGCTCCGGTTCCTGCGCCTCTGTTCGGCCCCAGCGGTGTTCCCTGTTCAACATTCCCTCTTATTTAGATTGCCGGAGACAGTTTGCCTGGTCCCTCGCCCAGCTGAGGGAATGAATGGGCCCTCCCATACCAAATCCCTTCATTTAATGACTACAGTTCAAAAAAAGAGCTTAACAGATATAAAAGCCCAAATGGCTGCCAATTGGCATCGATTTTTTTTCAAGGCACAAGCAGCAGGGTCAAAACTAACCAGCCTTGTTGCCCTACGGGGCCATTTGAAATGAGGTCAGATTAGCTTCAGAGCATGCTGGGAGATGTAGTTTTAAGAGAGTAAGATAACGGAAGAGTTACAGCTGAACACTAAAAGCTGCGATTTCAAGTTTTGGCGCTAAAAAGGAGCCTCAACTCTTTTAAGTTTTCAGTCTGTAAATACAGCCATTTAAATGTTTAGAGGTTTAAATACATTTTTAATAGCCACATAAGACCCACCACCATCCAGCTACATCAGCCGACTGTACTAAGAACAGGCTTTGAGGGGCTGTGGGATTAACTCACTGACTGGTTTGGAAATTTTACACAGCAAATTTCGTGCTGCAACTTTATTTCTACTTTTCCTCACGATCCGTTAAGAGCTAACAATTTCACCAGTAATCTACTCTGACAAATCAGCTATCCCCTTCCTGAAACTGACTGAGATTGTGAAAATTGTAAGGTAGAATTTAACCAAAGAAAAATAACAGCATCTTCCTGGATCTTTCGCGTGATGGAAAGTGCGGGATGTCGCCCCAAAATTTGGAAAACGCAGCTCCCTCCCACATTTCCTTTCATTCGCTTCTGCAGCTAAACAGTGCTTAGGGTGAATGTTTTCATTTTGGCTTGCAGGGTGTTAGTGTGCCTTCAGGTAGTGTAGTTTTGGGTTTCTGGATGCCTCCATGATCTGAGCCTAGCTGGTCAGTTCCCAGACCCCCAACACTCACACCATCCTGAACTGACCTACTGAGGCCTCTGAAACAAGCCCACATGTGTAACTTCATTTTGTGATAGGCACTTTGGTTATTATCTTAGTGAATCCTTTCAACAGTTCTGTGAAGGAAGCTGTAATATGCTTACTTTACAGCGTATTCTGAAGAGAAAACGTCATTCTTAGCCACACACTGAAGTAGGAAAACAACCCAAAATCAGATCTACCTGACAATGAAAATCGAAATACTCCTTTTACTACATGAACTTGATTCTTCCAGGTTGACTTTGTGCTACACATGTGGTCAATAGTCCATTTATTATCTCCTTGATACATAATATTCTTGCAATCTTGGGGCGTATACATGTGTTCTCCAGTTAGAATGGATCCAGTCATGCTTCCTTTGTATTCTTCCATAGGAACTAGTTCAAAGTGCGGTCATCACTCAGCTACTCAAGTAATTTCATCAACTCTGTGAACTCAAAGATGCAATGTACTCTCAAGGAATCGGCATCATTATACAGAAAATAAGGGAACTATAAAAGAAACCATGTCAATACAGGTCCAGATAATGAATGTAAGGTGCTTAATTTACCTAACAAAATAAGCCTTAAGAGCCGGGCGGTGGTGGTACACGCCTTTAATCCCAGCAGAGGCAGGCGGATCTCTGTGAGTTCAAGGCCAGCCTGGTCTACAAGCGCTAGTTCCAGGACAGGAACCAAAAGCTACGGAGAAACCATGTCTCGAAAAATAAAAAAAAAAGCATTAAGTACTTAAATAATGAGTATTCAATAAATGGTTAAGCAGCGTTCTTAGTAGCATTTGAGACAATCTCAGTGAATGTACAATATTGTGCTTGGTGAGGATGGGACGCCATGCTGACTGGAAGGAACAGCTTACATAAAAATACAAAGAACTGGGGCTGGAGAGATGTCTCAGCAGTTAAGAGCGCTGGCTGCCTTTCCAGGGGACCCTGGTTCAATTCCCAGCACCCACCCTCCCAGCAGTTCACAGCTGTCTGTACATTCAGTTCCAGGAGATGCAACACCCTCACACAGACATGCATGCAGGCAAAACACCAATGCACATAAAACAAATTTTTTTTAAAATACAAATAAAGTGTGACAGGCAAGATGATTCAGTGGATAAAGCAGAACTCTATTTTAGCAGAACAGACCAGATCAGAAAAGGCTTCAAGTATTAGAGTAACAAACACACTCCATTCTCTTGGAAAGGTGGGGGGCATTTTTGTAATGCTGAGGATGAAAGAGCTCTGTGTCTGCCAGGAAAGTGTGCTAGACCCCGAGTCCTTAGAATCTTCAGAAAAAATTCTACAACAGCAGTGTGTATGAAAATTGTTTATTTGAAAGACTGGCACGTCCAGATAAGGAGTAGTCACCGATTTAAGCTAGGGAGGCAGCAGTGGGAAGAGAAAGGGAGCTGCAGTGCATAGGGAGGGAGCTCAACAGGACTTTCTGGCTACTTGGATCATGGGGGAAAGGGAGGGGGATGAAACCTGGAAAAGTGGAAGATCTGGGGAGAAGAAATCAGGGCCTTCATTCCGTGGAAGAGTGTGTGCTTAATCTGTGCAGCACCAAAAAGAAAAAGGGCCATAAGGAAGAAGAAATGAAAAGGTGGGGCAGGATGGACTTTGGAGTATACGGAAGAAATGCTAAAAAGTGTTAAATCTCATAAAGCAATGTGTCACCTGGCTGTGGTGGCACACGACTTTAATCCCAGCACCAGGGGCAGAAGCAGGCAGATCTCTGTGAGGGCAAGGCTGGCCTGGTCTACTGGTTTATGTGTCAAGACCCTGTCTCAGACACCACACACACACACACACACACACACACACACACACACACACACTTCCATATAAAAAATAAAGATGAGCCAGGCGGTGGTGGTGCATGCCTTTAATCTCAGCACTTGGGAGGTAGAAGCAGGCAGATCTCTCTGAGTTCGAGCCCAGTCTGGTCTAGAGAGTGAGTTCCAGGACAGCCAGGACTGTTACACAGAGAAACCCTGTGTCAAAAAATAAAAAATATTAAGAAGTTATGAGTGGCTAAAGTAGCCAGGGTAATATGAATGAAACAGTTGGATATAACATAACTTCTGGATATAACTTTAATGTTTTCAAAACTAAACTTCTATTCCCTTTTTACACCCTTTCCCCATTTTTACACCTGTCCCTATTGCACAAGCCAGAAACCTAAGAGCTATTTCTGTGCCTTTCCATTCCTTCAGCTGCAGATCTAATCCATCAGCAATTTCAATCCGCTCCATCTCCAAGACAACCTTAAAGGCACCTGCCTCTCCCACAGTTCCTACCCCAGACTGGCAACCATTACCTCTGGTCTGAACTTACATAACTATATATCTGATTTTTTCCTTCTACGTGTGTGTGTGTGTGTGTGTGTGTGTGTGTGTGTGTGTGTGCAAGGTTGTTGCGTAAAAGTTTCCTCTGAGATGGAAACATTCTATCCTGCAGGGAAGTTCCTTAAGACAAAAAGCAAGCAACTCAAAATGATTCAGGTACTCCCTGAAACTGACCAGATCAATTTCCTGCCCACTCCCCAAGAGTAAACACAGCTGAGTCTCCGACAAGCCAAGTTTCTTGAAAGTAGCAGAGACCAGCCCAATTGCCTAGATGAATCAAAGACCAGTAGAGCGGCCTGGAAGAGGCTTGGGCCTGCTGATGCTCCTGGTAGGACACTCTCCAACTTGTGTGCTCCAGATTTTCAGCAGCTTTTGTGAGCTGTCACCCATGATGGGGTAGACTTTGCTGATGATGCAGCTTTCTTTGAGTCATTTCTACTCCTGTAAGTAACCTCAAAAACCTCGATGGCTCCCAAAGTTGGACTTTGGTGGTATCCATACTTTGGTCTGCTGTAGGTTCCCTATCTGGGGTGAGTAGACTGTGTGTTGTCTTCCCAGGAAAAGTATCACGCGGCGGGGCTGTGTCCCCAGCACCCCGGCCGCCTGGCTAGCTTATACCCCGAAATAATTACACGGACACTGTATTCTTTTAAACACTGCTTGGCCCATTTCTATCTAGCCTCTTCTGGGCTAACTCTTGCACCTGGACTAGCCCATTTCTAATAATCTGCTGTAGCCCACGAGGTGGCTTACCAGGGAGATTCTAGCCTACGTCCATCCTGGGTCGGAGCTTCATGCATCTGCCTCAGAGAGCAGAGCTATCGCCTCTGTCCGGGAGAGGGGAGCATGGCGTCTCTGTCAGGTGTCTGCCCCCAAGAGGAGAGCTGTCGAGTCTGAGCTCACTTCCTCTTCTTCCCAGCGTTCTGTTCTGTTTACTCCTCCCACCTATGTTTTAACCTATGAGGCCAAGCAGTTTCTTTATTACTTAACCAATGACCTTCCTCCATCAAAGGGTGCATGTGCATACCTTCGGGTATGACTTCTCAGGGGTTTTCTTGTTTTTGGAGACATAGTCTCTACTGGCCTGGAACCTGAGTAGTCTATGCTGGTTTGGTGGCAATTCCCCAAGATCCGCATCCCCATCCCCAGCAGTGCAACTGTGAATTGTGTGTGTCACTGTGCCTAGTTTTTTAAATGTGAGTCTGAGGTTGAATTCAGGCACAACGAGCACTTTACCGACTGAACTGTGTCTCAGTCCTCTTCTGGTCTTACTGCCCAGCGACCTATTAGATGCAGCAGCAGAGACATTTTCTTTTTAAAAAAATTAAAAAGTAAACTGGGACTGGAAGATTAACTCCGTCAGTAAAGTATCTGCTGTACATTCATGGTGACCTGAGCTCAGATCCCCAGCGCCCACAGAAAAGTTGGCTGCCTGCCATCTAGGTGCCGAAGGCAGAAGCAGGCTGATCTCCTCGAGGGCGGGGTTGGTGAGAGAGCTTGTCTCTAAAAATGGCGGAGAGTGATTGAAACAGACACCTGCCATTGCTCTCTGGCCTCCATCCATGCATATGTGTGCAAACACCTCCCCCACCAGAGCGGGGAGAAGAGAGGGAGAAAGGGGATGTCATTAAGACCTGTCCCATACCAGGCTGAGGATCTTCAAGTCCACAATTGCTTTTAGGAAGAGAGAGAAGAGCACACAGTTCGCACACAGAACGGAAGGAGCCTGAGGCTGTAGCGTGACCAAGGTGAAACTGACAGTCTGGTAGTGTAGGGAGGAAGTGACTCTTGCTCTGGGCCTTCAGGGCTAGGCAAGGGAAGGAAAAACTGGCTGACTGAAGCCCTACATTTTAAGCTCTAATTGGATGGCACGGAAATGGGTTGTTCCATATGCTTTCCAGCTCTCCAGCACACAAGCTCCTTCGATCTAGAAACGGCATCTGAGCGTGGTAAACAAGCCACAGGTGATGCAGCTGTGGAGCACAGTGAAGTTTTACTTAACGCTCCGGAATTGATGGTAATTCCTGCAGTGGCCCCACAGCGTGACTGGATGCTTGGTCATGGTTAACTCTGATCAAAAGCATTCCACAAGTCTAATTGTTTAGTGCCTATACTGTCCTGGAACTGGGAATGAGACCTTCTCAAGACACTGAATTTGGGGTCACTGGACTCAAGGGAAGAGAAAGGAGGGTGAAGCCTGGCTCTGAGGTTTGCCTGGGTGATGGCCCTATACAATTACTTGACTGACTTTCTCCTGCTATTGCCAAAGGTACTGTTTGAACCTGCAAGGTCAGAATGGATGGGGAAGTTTCTTTTGTGGGCCTCCCTTGCCTACCTTTTCTGGAAGAGGCAGGAAAAGGAAAAGTAAATCTATTGAGCGAGCACTCCCCCAGTAGCTTTGATGCTTCAACATACTGACCTGATTTCCCATCATCTCCTAACATGTCTTCCTTGAAGAACACAATTGTTATGAATGAGAACTCTAAAGGTAGTACAAGGGTTCAAATTCCAGAAGAGTGAATTATTAGCTAATTTACCTTGTGCAATTTGCTTCAACTATTAGAGTGAGTTCCCCCACCTCTAGTGTTGACTGTGAAGGGAAGCTGCTCTATTGTATTTGGCAAGCACTCACATACTACTTGTTTTAAGGACTATTATGTCAACCATTTTTTAATATGCATGCCAAATTTTACCTGCTATCCTAAATTGATGGATGTAAAGTACTTCTAGTGATCTGAGGACAAGTTCTTGGCTTTGGGGTACAGCCTTAAAAGAAATCAGACTTCAACTAGATACAAGGTGGTCTTATCATTGGCCCTAGAACACTTATGAGAATGACATACAGTGATATGAACATTTATGCCAGGAAAGGATGTATAAATAAGGGCTCTAATGAGCAAACCAAAATCTGCAGTTACTTCAACTGGACAAAAAGTAAAGACTAAGGGGCTGGGGAGATGGCTTGCCATGTAAGCATGAGTATCTGCACTGGAACCCCAGCAGCCATAGCCAAAGCAGGACATGGTGCTGGCACACGCCTGGTTTCTGCCTCAGTGCAGGGCACCCAGGCGGGATGATCTTTGAGGCTCACTGACCAGTCAGCCTCATCTGGTGAGTCCAGGATCCAGTGAGAGACTGCTACAAACAGATGAAAGTGGAGGGCTTCTGAGGAAAAACACCCTGGTTGACCTTAAACCTCCAATGCATACGTACCAGAATGATACACATGCACCAGCATGATACACATGCACCTGACATGATACACATGCACCTGACATGATACACATGCACCTGACATGCTACGCATGCACGAGCATGATACACATGCACCTGACATGATACACATGTACCTAACATGATACACATGCACTTGACATCATGCACCTGACATGATACACATGCACCAGCATGATACACACGCATCTGACATGATACATATGCACCGGATATGATACACATGCACCGGCATGATACATATGCACCTGACATGATACACATGCACCAGCATGATACACACGCATCTGACATGATACATATGCACCGGATATGATACACATGCACCGGCATGATACATA